TGAGAAGTAAGGGGTCCAAGGTTCCAAATTTCACTCTTTAATTAGGAGCAGATATTCTGGCCAGGGCATTGAATTTCTAAAAACTTTAAAACGTGTGCCAGGCCTGTGAAACTTAGGACATTTGTCTCCTGGACATTTGAGACCACTTATCTTTCCAAAGAAGTAAAAATATTTGACATTTATTACTAATCAGGTTCAAATAACCTTGTTTCATAAATATAGTGCACCAATATTCGTTTGCAAAGTATATGCAGATAATAACGGGTACTTTATTGAATAATGATGCTGGGAAAATGGACTTTTGAATATTATTTTGGAAAATGTTTTTTCTTCTATTGCCATATAACCTACCTCTCTCTCTCTCTTACTCTCTCTCTCTTGCTCTCTCTTAACAAAGCTTCAAAACAAGAAGGGAGATTAAACAAATTAAATAATGAAAGTTCAAATGGAAAATAAGTTTTAATTTTTATATTCTTTAAATGAACATTGTAAGTTTAACTTTGGGAAGCATTTTTTTCCCAAGACTCTCCTACACAGTGAATACATTTATATTCTCTGATGGAGTAGAATGATATTTAAAAGCCTAATAACTTTGCAAAAACTATATTTAGCAATTATGTAAAAAGAATCATAATTATAATTTTTATTTGACAAGTTCAGTTTTGGGGAAAAAAAGATACTCTAAATTAAAAAAATTGTGAAGTATTAATTTATATATTTAGGAAGTTCAATATGTAAAAAAATTAGAATGGAAAATATTACCATAATAGCATTTATTCTGATCTTCCTCAACCTCTGTAAAGAAATATTTCCTTGTTAAAAATATAGTAACCCACAGAGAAGAGACAATTGAGGGTGTCAACATTTTCAACTTTATCAACCATGAAATGTAACTTTAAAAAGGATAGTAAGCAAATTTATGAAAAAGTAAGGTCATCCTAGAAAGAATTATCTTTCAGAAGCATTTTAGTAATATGACATTAGAGAAAGACGTACCTGAAGTACAGATTAAATAACTTAAGAATTGATCAAGTGATGGCTTAGTTTGTCTTTTTATATTTAGATAATACATTTAAAATATTAAACTGCTTGAATATCTAATACATGTTATGTTTAGAAAACAATTTACTACTGAAAATTGTTTTTAATATATTTTTAGATAGGTCAACAATATAGCAAAACAAATCTGTTATTAAATCGAAATCTTTAACTCATGCATCACTTTCTTTGTAAGGGTCCTTTTCTTTTTTGAAGTGTTCTGCTTTGAACCACGGTCTCATGAGACACTAAGGTCAATTGGCATAATGTGATTCACAAAAGCAATGCTCTATATCCTACTCTTGAAAGAATCAACTGGGATCTTAAAAGCTTGTGAGTAACCATCTCAGGTGCAAATGTTGGTGTCTCTCCATCCAGAGAAAATAAAAGTGGGGACAAATGAATGACACATGGAAACAGTCCAATGGACTCATGAGCCATGCGAAGATCAGCCTCACAAATCCGAGACAAGAACTAGATCGTGTCCCACTACCACTACTAGCTGCTCTGAAAAGGACTATATTGCGGAGGTTTTCATAACACATGTAGAACAGAACTCAGAATATTAAGAGAAATCAGGCTTACTCGTAGGAGGGAGACAGGTGGGCCCTCAAGATTAAAGCCCATAGTCCCTTGGGGCCACCTATTCCGGGTTCAGGAAGGGGAAAATCTAGCTCCACACTAGGCCAAACATTACTGCCACAAGACAGAGGTCAGACAGGCCTCCAACTTGCATTTTTTCACCCTACTCTGACACCAACTATTCTTTCCAAGGCACTCTACCCTGTTGTGTTCCATAATCTCTTACAACGGCCACACAGAAACCACAGACAGTAGTCAGGATTGTGAGGGCTTGTTAGGGAATCTGAAAAAAAATCACAATGTGAAGGATACAGTTCTTTAGTCTGTGATGTCCTTTCTCACCAAAATTGAATGCAATGGTGAATGAAGCCAAAGGACAAAACAGAGATGGAGATAAAGTTGGACTGGTGGATATGTTGTATATGCTGAGTCTGAAACTCCCTTACTGAATCTATATGATAATGACACATATACATTTTAAAATATAACCCTAGAGCTCAGGAAAGAAACAGAGGACAGATGTAATTATGCAGATGTTATTGGTTTATGGTTCTGGTAGAACTATGTGTGTTCCTAGATTAAAGCTGAGTCGATGGAGAGCAGAATAGAGTGGGGAAAGAAAAGGCAAAAGTGGCCAATTCTGGAATTCAGAGATGGTATTCCATTCCACAGGGAGGAAGACAATTATGAAGGATTATAGTTAAGCAAATATATTTGAGAAACTATATGGCTTTTAAGTGTTGAAGAGCTAGCACTTCAGTTTGAGGACTAAGTTGTACTTAACGCAAGCCGTGGTATTTTCCTTTTAAAAACAAACCAAAAAAATCAAAACAAAACAGTTTTATTGACATGAAATTCATATGCAAAGTAATGGCTAAATCATATCTTTAAAAAAGTTGTGCAATCATCACC